CTTCTATAAATTGAGGGTGTTCGATCGTTTAAATAGCTGCTCGCCAGATTTTATTGCATTCCTGGGGGTCGTTATTGAAACTAAATACAACTAAATAAACAACAACAACTAAAACAAATAACAACAACTACTAATAACAATAACTAAATAAAAACAACTAAATGCCATTCGCTTAGCATTGCGTCATATGTTGTTCCTACTAAATCGAAGTAGTTGTGTTTTTTTCATATTATACCCAATTAACTTTCAAAATATTCTATTGCTGGCAACAGCATTTTTATTTTTTAAGTTGTTTATTTTTATTTCTTTTAGAATTCGTTCTTTTTTTAGCGAAATGTTTTTTTGCGAATTGTTAAAAAATTAGCGAAAATTCTTTGCCGACTGTTTTCTCTATAAATGAAGAAAATAAAGTAGAAATTTAAGTGTTGTGAAAAGAATCTTATTTAGTTGTACAAAGTACTTCAGAAAAGCGCTTTCGACAAAATACTAAAATAGAGATCTACTACTCACTTCTGCCTAGCTTAATAGTATGAGATTGCCGCAGCTGAATTGAACAATCTGATAATGCTCACTCTGGTTATTGTTTCCGTTTCTAAAAGTTCATATGTTGAGCCACCTCAACTAGATTTGGCATGTGACATTTTTAGCAGCAATCATTGGTCGATTTTCTAACGTTTTATTCGGGGAGTTGTAATGAGGCTTTTTTTTGGTGCCGTGTAAGAGAAATATAATATAGATAATAACTGAATTACGTAAATAACTAAAAACTTCAATGCTGTTGAACTAGAGCCCCTGAATTAGAATTGATAGTATAGGAGCCTTATGTTGAACAATCAAAAACGAAAATCAATCTTTACCAGGAATCAAATATTAAAACATGCATTTTATTATTAATGCAAAAACTATCAAGTTTGTCAAGTGCCAAAAAGCAGAAAAATTGGCAGCTAAATTAACAGCTTTTTCATTAAAGGAGATTTTATTTATTTATTAATTCTTGAAATTAGATGTTTTATAAAGCATTTTACATAAATATTCACGTACGTCAGATCATTCAAAATAAAATATTGTTTCAGATTATTAAAATTGTTCGAAATTAAATAACAGAAATTTCGCACTTTCAGAACTTGAAAATTCAGTTTAGAAGTTTTTAAAAATTAAATTAAAGGCGTTTTTGTGGTAAGAGAGGAATATGTTCATAAAACAATAATAATCCACTGCAATAACAATAATAATACTCCATAAACACTAATTATCCACTCTCTGTTATAAAAGTAATAAATACAGTCAAACCCCGCTATAGTGAACACGGCTTATAGTGAACTCCCGGATATAGTGAACGAAATGCTCGGTCCCGTGCCTTGCTATACACGAATGTTATTTTTAGTGGATATAGTGAACAAAAAAAAGGGAGGAAGTTGGATATAATGAACTTTTTTCAGTCTTCGACTGATTCCCCTCCCCCCCATTTTCTTTGTAATAATTTTGAAGTTTCTACTTCAAAATAAATTCATATACCGATTTTTAAAACCATCTATAGAAACTACTTTTATGTGCTCGAATGGCAGGTTAGACAGGTTTAAAAAGCGGAATAACAGAAATTCAGGAAAAATTATCTGAGAGTCGGGAAGTGTTTCCATATCTGATGTTGAGGATTGCTCATCAGCTAAAGATTACTAATTTTTATTTGTACGCAAGACGAAGAGTGATGAAAAATAACACATTTTTTGCTACTACATAATATTTTTCAGTCATTTATATGAATATAATGTAATAAAAGGGAGGAGTTTGGGAACCATTAGTGAAATTGCCTGCGTGACGGATATAGTGAACTCCCGGTTATAGTGAACCGAAATTTCGGTCCCTTGAAGGTTCACTATAGCGGGGTTTGACTGTAGTTCAAATATTGCTTAGTTTTTTTTCGTAACCTTGTAATATGAAAACCAATTCAGAAGACATGGAGCTTCCAATAATTAAAAAATATTAAAAAAAATTGTATGCTTTTACAGAACAATTATCTGCGTAAAAATAAAAATTGGTTTCATTCTCTTTTTTTTCGGAGTTTGTAATTACCTTGGCCAAAGTAATTACAATGAAAAATCACAAGAATGGAAAGATATTAGAATCAAGTTACTTTTTGGACAGTTTTATGAAATATCTTGTTTGAGACAATTGAATTTTGTTCTATGTAAAAAATAATAATAATAATAATAAATAAATAAAATAAAGAAGAAAAATGTGGAGAAATACACAATATAAATATTCTGTAATACATAAAACAATATTAAAACTTATCATTTTTACCCATTAATTAAAAATAATTAAGTTTAATTCATTTAATTTTTTTAAGAAAATATTTTTACAGATTTCTTTTAAATAAAAACAGCTGTTTTAACTTAAAAGAAATTGTAATTAAACAGGGGGGGTCGTAACAGCTGTTTTTTTACTTTTTTTTAAAATTAAACGCTATTAAAAATATTTTAAAAAATATTAGTTTCAAAATAACAGATGCTGGTCTTGGAATATTTTGAAAAAGGAATATTTAGATGTGTTTATAGTTTCAAAAGGAAAGACAAAATCGATCATCGTCTTGAACAATCTCATTAAAAAAAAATTGTAAATAAAATAAAAATTGATGGATATAAATTTATAATACTACTTCGAACAAATAGTGTTCAAAAAATTTGCACAATGTTTTTTTACATATTGTTTTAAGCATCTTATTTCATTTTTATATATTTTTGATCAGAATTAAAACTTCTAGCCGACTCTATAACAATCAAATGAAAATAAACAAAACTCGTAAATAATTCTTGAAATATGTTTTTTCTCTTTTTTTTTCTTACTTTGATAAATTTCATGGTCATATTTTTTTTTTTTTAGTGACTGTGAGAGTGTGTTAGGGGCCTTTGCTTTTGCCAATCCTTTCTTTGCCTATGTGCGACTTTAATGCGTAAACATAATAAAAATATAAAAGCAATCCTTTCTTTTCTCCCATTCGGAACTACAGTCAAACCCCGCTATACTGAACACGGTTTATAGTGAACTCACGGATATAGTGAACGAACTGTTCACTTCCGTGCCTTGCTATATGTTTATAATGTTATTTTTTGTGGATATAGTGAACCAAAAAAGAGAGGAAGTTAGATATTGTGAACTTTTTTCTGTCTTCGACAGATTTCCTTTTTTTTTTTTTTTTTTTTTTTTTTTGTAAATAATTTTGAAATTTCTACTTCAAAATAAAAACATATACCGATTTTTAAAACCTCATCTATAGAATGGAATGTAGCATTTTTCTTGTTTGCTTCATTATTGAATTGGTTCAGCTTTCAAATAAACTGCAATCTTCCCGTATCTGGACAAATGCTTCGAGTCAAAGCCTAGCAAGTCTAATGTATATGCTAAACGATTTGGTGAGACTACTTTTATGTGCTCGAACAGCTGGTTAGACAAGTTTAAAAATCGGAATATCAGAAATTCTGAAAAAATTATCGGAGAGTCGGGAAGTGTTTCCATATCTGATGTTGAGGAAAGATTACTAAATTTTTTTGTACGCAAGACGAAGAGTAATAAAAAAATAAAAGTTAACGCATTTTTTGTTACTATGTATTATTTTTCAGTCATTTCATTTTATGGGTCATTTATTTAAATAATGTGTAATAAAAGGGAAGAGTTTGGAGTTAAAATTGTTTGGGGGACGGTAATAGTGAAGTCCCGGTTATAGTGAACCAAAATTTCGGTCCCTTGAAAGTTTACTATAGCGGGGCTTAAATAACTGTGATTAAAGGTAATAAAATTAAGGTCAATCCTGTCTTTGGTTATGTGCTGTTATAATGCGAAAAGTTAAACAACTATACGTAATGGTAATAAAAGGTGGTATAAACTATATCTGATTCGAAAACAAAAAAAGAAAAGAGATAAATGAATCGAATAAAATACAGAAAAAAAGGCGAACTAGTTTCAGAAAACTTAAAATGAACGCTGCCCTATTAAATAAAAAAAAGTTGAACCAGTTTTTAAAGTTGCTTTACGTACAGTTAAATTGTGGAAATAAAAATAAAAAGAATTTTTCTTAAAATCAAAAAAAAATTTTATGCGAAAATTACCTACAATTTAATAGCAAAACAAAATAATTTGTTACTTACCAAAAGGAAGAACTAAAGAAAGAAAGATTTTTGATGAGATAATAAACTCGCTTACTCAAAACTACAATTCATAATTTTGCATAGTCCTGTCATGTCTTATATTCAATATTTTGCATTCATCGTCCCCTCCGTCTGCAAAATTGCACTCGTCCTCTGAGGTGGGACGTGTGCAGAAAGGTGAAAAAGCTAAAAAATTCAGAGGAAATGTGTGCAAAAGTCATTTCCATTGGTTGGAAAATCGAGCTTTGCACCAATCAGATTAAATTATTCTATAATCTAGCGGCATTAATCTCTCTTTCCCCTCCTCTACTCTTAATGTAAACGTGATAAAGGAAGGATTTAATTGCAACATCATCCTGTTTCGTTATCTTTCTTTTCAATGACTGATGATTAAAAAAAAAATAATAATAACTGAGTTGCATCACCCCAAATGTTTATAATATACAATACAAACATTACATCTTCTAATAGTGATAAGAAAATGGAAAATATTTACGTTACAAAATATTTTACATTTACATGACATACGCAAGGCTAAATAAAATATCGCTATATATAATTATATCTTTAAATCTAGATCTAAAAATAATCACTCGCCATGTGGCGAGTCAAAAAAGAAAATTGGCGACTTAAGTTAAATGGACAACAGCTCACCTTTTCTCCATCATTTTTTAAAAAATTGTTAAGTACGTCAATGCAGAAAAAGACTCTATGACTCTGAAAAGACTCTGCAGAAAAAGAGAAGAAAAGAAAAAATATTCATTTCTTGTGTGAAACCCGTTATTTCATAGAATAACTAGGTATTTCATGAAATAACTAGACCAGTCAGTTAAAGTACATAAAATTAATGAATTCTACAATTTAATTAGGTTATCTATAGAATAACGATTACTTGATCGTTAAAGTATGAAATACGGCACTCGGAAAGTTCAACAACTTTTAGTCAGATACGATCGGCTTAGAGCTGTTTTGTTTGCTGATATTTTGTTTAAATAAAGCTCATTAAAGAAGGAAATGTAAAATAAAATTTTTATTCGATTTGGGGCCTCCTCTGATGTGGATCCCGGGGCAACTGCCCCTGCTTTAGTCAGGCTCTGCCCACGATGTTTGTTTACGCCTAATCTGGATAATAGAAATTATACAGAGCAACAGTTTATCTTAATATAGGTAAAAAGACAGCATCATATTAACACCTTCAGTTGAAATTCCGAAAATAACGTATGTAAATAAAACAGTAAAAAGAAAATTTGCGAAAATTACTTTTGCACCGTAAAAGTTTTCCTTTACAAATTTCTTACTTAAGTATTCCCCGTATGCACATACCGGCTAGCTGTGTGTTGCTTTAAGTACTAAATTAAAAATAAATACAGCTTACAATAAAAAACGATTCAGCTAATCAGTGAGCTTGAGCAAAAATCACTGATTTTAATTGTTTGTGGTCACCAAACTATTTTTATTTTGACATAACATTGTTTTGTTGTTTTATATTTTGCTGTAATTTATAGATACGTAAACTTTATCTTTGAAAAATAATCTTCAATTGTCAGCTTTCAAAATTTCTTAGAATGTTTCTCTTGAATCATGCAGTTCAATAGATTCTTTTTCATTATTAGGACTATACTCTTCAGTAATTTAATTTCAAAATATTTTGTAATGGGCCCAGAAAATTTGGTGGGCCTTGGGCCTGAGTTTGTCTTGATCGGTCCCTGTGCACATATATGCGACTACACATTGAAGTGTACATCAGTGTTGACAATTTATGATATCTCGCAGAGAAGATTTGTAGTATAAATAAGAAAGTTATTCAAGATGTCCACTCACCCCTGCTACCGGTATTATGGTGATTGATGCTGTTTTAATCGGTAATAAATGTACAAATATAGGTATTATATTAGTATAGTTGATGCCTATAAAAATTGCATCAATACTGGGAAATGTAGATACTGTGAAAAGGATGAAAACCGAGTGATTGTGTCAAATTTCGATTATCCTATTGAATCGGTCTCGAGCAACCGCCGAATCATGTGAAATGATTCTGGATGCATTTAATCCTTATTTTGATGGGAAAAACTACTATAACCACACTTATTACTTTTGATCTGATGACCAGATGTTCACATTCTAGGATGCTCAATGCAGTTGATTCGGTAACATAACCTTAAATAGGTTGGCTTAAGTTCAGACAACAAAAAAAAGCACTTTTCTAAATAAATTTGGCTTTTATTTCGACGGATTTGGATTCTCAAAATTATGGGCGTTTAGTTGCCCATATTTTGACAATCCTAATCTGATTTAAAAGCGACGTATCAACTTTAAACTGCTGAAAAAGTCGATTTTAACGGTTGAACAGTTTAACGGGGACCAATACCGCACACCCACTGTCGCTACGTAGACACATCCAAGTGGTCACCCACCCGCACACTGACCGCAGACAGTGATGCTTGACTTCGGTGATCTGCTGGGAGTCGTGTTTTTGCGAACAATCCACTGCGGGACCTGAGGGAAATAGAGGAATTCCACCTCTCGTCTAAGGTTCATCGAGAACACACACTCAGCGTTGATCCTTCTAAGCCAGAATGACATCTCTGAGATTTCTGAACAGCTGATTCCTCAACCGAGAAGAGGAAGTAAAAATCTAAAAAGCCATCACTGAATCTGCGTCATTGATTCGCAGCCTGCTCTTCCTAATCTACCAACGAATTCTCAAATAACTCAGACTACCCCGACACGGTCGAGTCTGCTCCAGAGCTCCCAAAAAGTTTAAAGTTATTTTTAAGGGGTATAATTTTGACTTCAAGACGGAAGATCTGGGAGATATCTTGCAATGGAAAGGATTTGACTGCATAAAATTAGTCCCATTCTGGAGAAGGATCGGCCAATCTCACGAAACTCCATCCTACGTGCCTATTTTCCTAGTCATCTTGGAAAATCTGAGACATCAACAATATCACCGCTGCAGGGATGGTCACCGGCAAATGTAATGTTTCTGGTGTCAGCTGTTCAGCGCAACCACGAATCACGATGCGCCGAACGCCCCAACCTTCTACATTTGCAGCAAGGACCAGTGAAGAGCTTTGCTGCAACCGCTGCCAATTTCACTGGATATGAATTCAGGAAGAAGTTACCGAGGAGAAAGCATAATCCCCCCCGTTCTGCAAGACTTACACGGACTTTAAAAGATCTGAAGTCACTGTTCAACGATTCTGAAGTAGTTGAGATCATTAGATCTCTTCTCCATTCTACATCAGGTCCCGCAGTGGACTGATCGTTAAGACACGGTTCCCAGCAGATCACCGAAGTCAAGCATCACTGTCTGCGGTCAGTGTGCGGGTGGGTCACCCACTTGGATCAGTCTGCGTAGGGACCGAGGATGCGCGATATGGGTCCTCGTTAAACTGTTCTACCGTAAAGTGCTCGACTTCGCGTGCAGGTCGTTGGGCTACCGAAGCAGGGGTGCCATCCCCTCTGCAGAGGATCAAAATTGTGATGGCATGTCTTCGGATCATCCTCAGGGATGTTTCCCAGACCGTCGCCAATAGCCCATTGTGCAGCTCTAGTGCGACGTAAATGAACTACAACAACATTCTGCATCAGAAATCAGGTTGGAATATCGTCGGACTGCGTATCAGCTGTTTGCCTTCGGGTATACAGATCATGGAGAAAATCAGCACAATTTTAGCTCCATCTTTTTAGGTACCAGTGTACCTTTGGCCAGGTACACATGACATCTATGCTTAGTTTCCGCAGTACTTTCTTTCTCAATCATTTCTGCCCATCAAGCCATTATGGGATAGTGTTGGAATTCTTAGATAGACTGGGATAACCATAGTCTCAAACTACGGTTTAAAAAAAATCAAATTTTTTTTCTCGAATTGGCTGAATACCTTCACTGTATCTTTGGGACTATGGATTTTGACTTCTGTAACCAGTTCTCATGGCATAGCAGTTAAATGAGATATTCAATTTACTACACTTAAAAGTAATGGGATCATTTATTAATATTGGTGCATAAGATTATGGTTCAAGAGCAATACCAGTTTTTGTTCTGTAATTAAACTCGCGTGTGCTTCTTGTTTATAACACTGAGAAATTTTCCTTCGTGGAGCACTTTTTGATGGAACTAACCCGCATCTGCCTTACATAAAGAGGAAAACCACAAGAGGATCCGTCTACCACTGAGGATATTTTATGTCAGCACTGTGGTCGGTGCGAGCCAGGTATGGAATTCTAATCGATCAGCCATCGCTGAGATTCGAACCCGGTTCATTTCATTGGAAGGTGAACGCTCTACCCCCTGAGCCACTACAACTGAACATACCATTTTTTCGACGGATTCGGACTCCCGACCCCCATAGTTTGGTCAGGAGAGTGATCCAAAGTTTGGACCCCATATTTTAACAGGATGCCATACTACAGCAAACTTTTAACCGCAAATCTACTTCCACCTCTATTAACCAAAGAAAAAGTGAGTTCCGTCAAACCTAGAAGTAATAGTCATGGATAAAATATCAAAATGGAAACAAATTATTGGAAGTGAACTTCTCTATTGCGTGTGCCTAAAAGTTATCTCCGCATAATTTATTTTCATTTGGATATTTTAAATTTTATTTTCAGTATTTGAAATTTCATGGCTTACTCTAGGTTTGTCTGAACTCAAGTTTTCATCAAATTCGTTATGGAAGTGAAAGAGAATTTAAAACGAAAAGTTTCCCCCGTCGTATGGCGTCCTCTTAAGCGAACTGAAAAATGTTGACACTCAATTATAAAATTCGTTTATCCAAAGATGACCTTATTAAAATTCTCAGGAACTATTCAACTGATTTCGCGTCCCGCAGTGGACTGATCGTTAAGACACGGTTCCCAGCAGATCACCGAAGTCAAGCATCACTGGTTGCAGTCAGTGTGCGGGTGGGTGACCACTTGGATCAGTCTGTGTAGGGACAGAGGGTGTGCGGTATTGGTCCTCGTTAAACTGTTCTACCGTAAAGTGCTCGACTTCGCGTGCAGGTCGTTGGGCTACCGAAGCAGGGGTGCCATCCCCTCTGCAGAGGATCAAAATTGTGATGGCTTGTCTTCGGATCATCCTCAGGGATGTTTCCCAGACCGTCGCCAATAGCCCATTGTGCAGCTCTAGTGCGACGTAAATTAACTACAACAACAACTGATTTCGCTCAAATTTTGTCATGTAAAATTACGTTTTTAAAAATGATGTAAAAAAATTGTACACCTTACAAATCAATTTTTTGACTGTTATTAAATAGAATAATGAATTTTTCGATTATCATTGAATAAAATAATAAATATTTACTAAAAGTCATTTTTTTTTTGCATAGATAAATTGATTTTATAATTGGGAGCAAACATTTTTCACTTTGCTCAAATGTTCCCGAGATATGCCGGAAGAAGCAAATAATAAAATTAACTTTAAGAGTGGAAGAATTATTAATTAGGAAGTTAATAATTATTAATTAATTATACTTAATAATTATTAAGTGGAAGAGTTAAGAATTATTATGGATCACTTTCCTAGATTGCGGCAACTCCTCTATTTTGGGGGTCAGGAATCCAAATCGGTCGGAAAAAAAGGGCAATCAGAGAATTACGTACTTTATCTGCTTTCTCAGAGAAAGTACGTTAATTTTCTGATTTCGTAACTTAAAATATCGCTTGCACTAATTAATTAGCACCCCTTCGAACCATTAAGATAGGTCCTAGAAAGTTAAGATCTAATTAAAAGCTATTCAGGGTAATCCGTTTTTTAATTTTTTTTTCTTGCCCGTGCACTACTGTATTTAGTCATCGGGGAAGGTTTAAAAAATTCTAATGAAGTTTAGGGAGAATTATCAAGGGTCAAGTTTTGTATACTAAATTTGCATTTAAAAAAGCATAATTGCAAATTAATACGCATACACATTTTTTATTTAAATATGTTCACGATCCATAAAGCCAGTTTTTCAACAGGTTTAAAATATTTTTTATTTGTTAAAATTCTTCTAAATTCTATCTGCCTGTTTGAAAAGGTATTATCTTAAATATGGATTCAACAACTCTTCTTACAGAATCGGTCTTGTAGTTAAGTGTTAATTATATTTTGTAATCGGAGCTAATTTCTTCAACAACAAAAATTTTATAAAATAATCTAAAATATGCGTTTTACAAAAGAGCATATTATCACAAGTTCCGATGAAGCTAAAGTTAGTAGTCGAAGCTGTAGTTAGTGACAGGGCTGCCGATTACTTCGGCCTTTTGCAAAATACTCTGACAGCTAAAATCCCAAAGATTTCAAAAAGTATCTTCTAAAGCAAAAAGCTTCACGAAAGAGAGTTGGAATGAAACAGCATTGCTTACGAACTTTTAGTGATCAGCGCTATCTTTTGGAAGCAGCTGTTCAGGTATAGATACGAGACTGGTTTGGTTATATGTGAGAAGTCGTCGGGTTCATGATAAAATTTTCATATTAAACATACAAAAATTTAATTCAGTTACAAAATTCATTAGGCAAAAACAATTTTTAGAAATATAAATGATCCAAAAATAAGCAATACTACATATTGTCTTTACAATTTTTTTTCCTTTTAAAAGTTGCATGACAATCTTAGCTCAAAATCTTCAAAAGTGACCCATAGCTGTCAGAAATTCTCCCGTAAAGGTTTTCCATGTTCTTTTTTGGAAAAGCAGGAATATATATTCAGATTTTTTCGAGTTATCATTGACACGAAAATATTAATTTTTCCTAAAGTAAACAAACTTAGATGGTTGGCATAAGGAACCTTTGATGGCACACTCTTCAGGCTTTTAGCAATTATTTTGACTTAAGAAATCGTAATAATTGGCATTTCTTCAGAGTTTTACCGATTAATGGTTGTGCTTTTCAGGGAAAGGGACATAAAAAAGTATTATTGAAGCCACTAATAATTAATATAACATTATATGTGCAAGGATAACAGGGTTCCACAAAATGGATAATATTGTTTCATTAAACTTGCAACTCTTCTCAAGTGAGAAGAACACACATTAAGAATGGCAAACAAATGTTTAAGTGAGGAAAAACAAAAACATCAAATTGTGATGAACTAGGCCTGAAATCATTAAAATCAGTTTGATTGCATGATTAAACTCTAAAGTGTTTTTAATAATTGCCTTTAAACTCCTCTGTATGCTTATACAATCAAATGAGTTCATTTTTTTAGGTTTTGCTTTCAATAATTGTTTTCTTTCATTCTCATTACTGAGTGCGAATTTTTAAATTTATTTTGAGTAGGATTCTGCAACATAAAATAAATGTATACAACACATCATGTTGCTGTGGAAGATTAAAACTAGCATAGATAATAGACATTAGTGGTTTTGAGGGTAAATATTATACTTCTCTTTCGGGCTTTCTGCTAGATACTTTTAATAATAACAAACACACGTTACTAATTTAAAATAACAAAAACGTCAACTTCAAAAAAGAAATTTTTTTTTTAATTGAAATGCTTTTTATTTTATTCTAATATTATGGGCAATATTCTCGCATTTTGTTGGGAGAAAAAAGTCACTATTTCTTTTTTCGCATATCACATTAAAAAATAATAATAAAAAAAAATTGTGAAATCCGTAGCTATAGCTGCCGAAATAAAAGATCCAACGGCGAAATCACGCGAATTTGACTCTTCAAAAAGGGGTTAATAAATGCGTGTTTTCATTGTGAGATTTAGTTGTTGTAATAAGTAATATCGTATTAAAAATATTGGATTTTAAAAACTATGTGAAAATCATCAGTAATAAATGCATAAAAAAGTAGAATTCAGCAGAAAAGAAAACTAAATCCCCCCCCCCACTCAGATGCGGTAAGGCATCTTTTGAATATAATTCTAAAGAAAAGATAAAATCTTACGAAAATTTCTGCAGAAAAGAAAACCAAAATGTTTTACTTCACAAAGGAAAAATCTTTCTGCAAAAATTCGGTATTGTTCTGCTACTATGTCGCCACGATTCTGCCATGGGTATTCAAAATAACTGAATTGTTTTTTGTTGTTGTTTAAACTTAATGTAAAAAAAGAAAAGACGCTAGTTTTAAAGAACACAAGATATGTGTCTTTTATTAACAAATAAAATTTACACATTGTATAAAATGAGGATTGTATGACTTTTTATTTTACAAATGAATTCAATATTAGAATAATTGTCAGGAAGATGATAAAAGCAATTGTTGAACAGTTTGTAAATTAAATGCAAATATTAAAATTTCACAGTAGTGGAGTTCTTTCAGTTGGAGATGCAGGAACCTCAACAATGATAGTTGTATACTGCAAATAAAATATATTTCATTTAAAAACAACTTGACAAAAGTGAAAAAATAGTGAATTGGTGAATTATTACCAAAGTATAGACATTAAGAAGAAAAAAAAGCTTATAAAGGACTATCAAATTAAAACAGTACATTTTATAAACCTTGATCTTTTTTTCTCCAATTATTGCCAAAATTGACATTTATGTTCTGTACTGTTTGAAAATTAATTATGGACAGTTATTTTTCGAATTATTATCACCAATAATGGTTCGACAGCCGAGGGTGGGCCTTAGCCTTCTTAAGATTTTTCCAGGATAACCTTTTTCCTGCTAGCGTTTTCTAGTTTTAAGACCAAAAGGTATTTTTCTATGCCATCTATTCATCTCTAATTCGGCCTGCCTCTTTTTCGTGTGCCAATTGGTTTGGCATTAAAAACTCTTTTTGTGGTACAGTCTTCATCCATTCTGATAACGTGGCCTGCCCATTTTTTTTCTTTTTCGTTTAATGAAGTTAATAATTTTCCAATACTCTAGGCCAGGGATAGGCAAATTTTTCTGGCCGTGGGCCAAAAATCAAAAAAAAAAAAGTTTGGTGGGCCAATTAAATATTTCTAAAATAAAAAAAATAAAATTAAAAAAAAACAAAAAAAAAACGATGCAATTTAAATTTTTAATGAGATGAATGAAATTGCGATTTCATTTTTAAAAGTTCCTTACATTGAGGTTCGAAGTGAGATGTACTTATTTTAAGGAAGGAGGATAAATGTTTGTCAGTTAGTCTAATTCTGAAATGATTTTTTCTAAGGTTCATAATTGAAAACGCTTGTTCACATATATAAGATGAAGCAAAAATAGCACTGATTTTCTGGGCATGCGATATTAAATTTGGGAAACTAGCTTTCGGTAATGATTTGTAAAACTCACACATTGGCACATTTAGAAACAACTGCTTCAGATGATTGTTAGATTGCAACTCAATTAATTCAAGCTGCAGATCCGACCTCACTGTTTCACAATTTACGTTGAAAGGCATGGTAAAAATATCTAACTCTGTTTTAATAGCACTGAAATCTTGAAATCTGCGTTCAAACTCAAAATGGAGTTTTTTCAAGCAATCTTCGTAACTCTTAAGCTTTTCCTTATTTACTGAGGGTATTGAATTTAACCTCGAGAAATGAGACAGGAAAATTACAAAGAACTTGTGACTGAGTTATTACGTACTTATCATCTTTTGGGGTGCAATATGAGCATTAAAATTCACTTCCTTCAATCACATTTGGAATACCTCCCAGACAATTTAGGAAAAATGAGTAACGAGCAAGGTGAAAGATTCCACCAGGATATAAAGGAGATGGAACGCAGATATCAAGGACGGTGGGATGTTAACATGATGGCCGATTACTGTTGGTGTTTAAAAAGAGACAGTGATATGGACCATAAACGAAAAACCCGAAAAAGAAGCATCTTGACTTCAAGAAAAACACAAAAGTTATCATAATATTGTAAATGAACAGCATTATTGTGTTTAGTTAATAGTAACTACAGTTGCAACTGTATGCATTATACTGCATTTTGTTAATTTTTTAATCTTCATTTGTAAAAAATCCTTACATGTTACATAAAATTTAGTTTGCATTTTGGAATGACATCATCAATGCTGATATAAATCAATTAAAATTTTACAAACAAGAAAAAAAATAATTTTTGAAGATAATTCACAGAAAAATGAAAAATTCGTTCGTTAGAGCTTAAAATGCTCTGTCTGCCACACGTGAAGCACAATTCACCTACATTAGATTCCGTATTGTCTGCTCCTTGAGAAAGACAAACGCTTGTTGGCGCCATTCTACAGCTATTCTATGAAGAACATCTGCTTTCAAAAAGTTACTAATTGAAAAGCTGTCTGAAGCTATTTCCATCAATTTATGTTTTGTAAAACGAAAATAGAGAAAGCAAAAAGGTCATCTGAATTTATTGAAAAAGGAAAAAAAAAGCTAGCTTTAAACAAAGTAGACGAATATGTATAATGTATATTTGCGACGGATCGGCAAGTTAAAATTCTATCCGCGAGCCGTTTAAAACCTTCCGGCGAGCCACAGTTGGCCCGCGGGCCGTAGTTTACCCAGCCCTGCTCTAGGCTTAAAGGTTAAAAATAGATTTGTTTTAAAGAAATACGTAGGTTAAAAGGTGTATAATAAAATAATTTTTTTTAAAGATAATTAAATTAAATAAACATATCTTTTTCATTATTTCTAATTCTTACATAAACAGAATTTCAATTTTTAGCGTATTGGATGATACTTTTATACAGTGTAACTTCAGATTTTTGTCCTGAAGCATAACTTGAATCTAATTTCTTACTTTCTTTCATGACTTTTCTTTGTAATTGAAAATGCTTACAAACGAGAAGCAACTTATGTTTTCATGTACATAATCAATCGTTTTTAAAGGCATGCAAACAGGAAAAAAAAATTACTTTGTTATGAAATAAAATTGCATCAAATATTGTAAACCATAATGGACATGGCTGAATGGGTCTTAAGAGTTATAGTTGCACAATGTATAGAAATAGTTAAAATTTACTAGGAAAATAAAATTTTTCAGGCAACAAATCATGCATAATACATGAAATTTATGCAAAAGCCTCACAATAGCACAAACTTCCGGAAAAAAAGAGGAACTGGGATGATAAAGGAATAAATGTTCCAATAATTTAAATATTAATTTTGTGAACAATACAAAGTTTTTAATTAATGGAAGTCTCCAAATCAAAACCTTGAGATTTACAGTTCTACGCAAATTAATAGTAAAAAAAAAAAAAAAAACATGCCTATGAAAACATCAAAACCAGTTTGATTGCATGATGAAATTCGGAGGTATTTTTAATAATCTAATAATCTTTGATATTATCACTACTGCCTCCTCAACAGTAAGTTAGATGTCAATAGCGTTCGCGATTTTTCCTTGTTTAAATATTACTTTAGAGAGTTATGAACTTCTTAAACTTTACTCTTGACAAAAATTCGATAAAAAAAATACATTAAGGGTGGTGAATACAAAACACCTAATGTTTCCTATTTTATCTTAAAACACATGCTAAAAATAAAAACAAAAATATTAAACAAAAAAGTAAATACAATTAAAAGAAAAACAGATTTCGTTAATAGCAGCTGTTAGGTAGGCGCTAAACAAGTTAATATACAAGCAATCCATATTAGTACATCAACATCTATCATGCTAGGTGCTTTTCATAACACACAAATTGCTTCAATTATGTGCAGAAATGATTAGTTGATTTCATAATTAGTAAAAGCAAGCTCATTAGTAATTCATACAGTGATGTCAAAAACTTCATAGGTATTCATTTGCAGTTAAAAATCAAAATTTCCTTAAGTTTTGTTGTATCAATTAAAAATCTTCAATAAAAGTAAGAATAAAATAGAGAATTTTTTTAGAAATCAATGTTTAATTTATATTAAGATTTAAATAATTGTGCGATATAAAATACGTTATTTTAAGAGCATATTTCTCTTTTCAAAAAAAGTAAGTATACTCTCTATTTTTTTTAAAAATTTTTAAAATATGAATACTTGCAATATTTTTCTTTTTCTGTCTAATGAATTAGATATAAGAATTATAAGTAAGAAATATGTACAGGGCTCTTGAAAATAACTGTTCTTAAGAGGTTGTTATCATGTGAGAGAATGGCAAATTCTGCTTAACCTGCATAAGTAACTTAGAAAATAAACCAATTAAGACTCCAGAAGTTTCAAACGGTGAAAAATGGTTTTCACTGTATTAAAATGCATCAAAGTAAGGCATGATTACTAGGTACTAAGGCATGAACACTAGGGAAGAAATTCAGAAAAAATTTCTTTGCATTTTGAATAAAAGTTTTTTAGCATTTGAAACTTCATGGTTTACTTGGCACATCTGAGTTTAGTTTAATTAATGTCGGTAAAACAGGATTTGCTATGAATAGTTTTTTTGCATGGTATAACACCCTCTTAATGTACACTTTTAAAATCCTTATCAAAAATGAAGAATAAGAAAGTAAACATTGCAAGACATAAAGGATTCCAAATTATTAAAGCAAAAAAAAAAAAAAAAAAAAAAAAAAAAAAAAAAAAAAAAAAAAAAAAAAAAAAAANAAAAAAAAAAAAAAAAAAAAAAGCTAAAATCTTTTGAATCAACCGCGATGTGGATAACATCGCAAATAGTTTGATTGCGTCTTGAAACTTGGAGGTATTTCTAATAATAGCTTTTAAAACACTTCTGTTTACTTCAAAAATAAATAGCACACCTGCTTCTTCTTCACTTAAATGTTCATCTGTGATTCATAATATACATATGCTCTTTTTTTTAAATTTCATTTCTGACAAAGATTATGAAACTATAAACTAAAGTCAGTCATTACATATTACCTGTACATATTATTGATAAATTTGTTCAATTAATTTTTAAAAAAATTAATGAAATAAAATTAAGGTGAACATTATTGACATTCTTATAAAAAAAATTAACCTTAGTGATATTAGTAATAAACAAAATAAAGTTTTTAATTTTTACTTTCTGTACAGTTTGTAAAAAAAAAAAAAAAAAAAAAAAAAAAAAANAAAAAAGAAAAATAAAAAAAAAAAAAAAAAAAAAGGGAAGATAATATAAGAGATTTTTATTAATTTAATAAAACTAAACAAAATTAGTATTGGTCACTTTTTTGTGCTAAATTAAACTTTTATGAGGGCATTTTATAGCTTTTGAGGTGAGTATTTGGTAAACAATTTATAGAATTAAATTTATTTAAGAAGAATTAGTTTCCAAACACAAAAAAGTGATAAAAAAAAAGTATGTTTGAAAAGATAACTGCAAAATTTCCAAAGCAGTTGACATTCCTGCAAGTTGTTATTTTTTTTCTGTGCAGTGTGTGTATATATATTTGATTCTGCACACCTAGAGGTTACTTTGTTTTGTTCTCTGATTGGTTGGCAAGAAATCCAAATGTGAGATATTCAATGAATTTGAGCTCCATTCGGCAACAGCAGCGAATCACAGAGAAGAGTGATTTCAGTCCCAATGAAACCAACACCTGCCGAGTGCATTTCTCAGTTAGTAAAATAAAATTACTTTAATAGGGGGGAAAGCAGGATATTCGATGAAACTTTCGGCCTTCCAGATTACATACCATATCAGTACCCTCGGTATCGTCTGGAGTCTCGATTACCTGTTGCTTACCATAGGTGGGGGAGGAGATATCTGAAGGAATAATGATAGATTTTTTTCCTAACATCGTTTAATAATACACATATAAACAGATATCGGAAGGAATAAAACTATACGGCAAGAAAATACTTTGGTGCCCAAAATCAAGGTAATTTCAGAAATCAAGGTTCATATTCAAATAAGCTTATACAATATTATTTATATGTTTGAAAGAAAGAAAAAAACAATCAGAATATTGAATACAGGAAATCCGCTACATTACTGGTTATCAAATTCATAACTAATTCCTAGAACTTTTCATGATTTAACGAAGGTACGATTTTCTCATACAAAAACAGAATGATAAATTTAAAAAGCATTATAATAGCATTCATTAAAATGATAGGTATAACCAAAACTGTTATTCTCTGCATCTTCATATTTATTGATTTTAAACTTAAAAATCAGAGTAAAGAAAGAGTTGAAGATATAAAATATCTGAAAAAATAATATCTGAGAAAATATTTTTCTTTTCTTTTTTTCTGAAGAATTATATTCTAAAAATACTTTTCTTATTCATCAGAAAGGAAAGAAATACTCCTGATTTTTTCTGTTCACATTTTAGAATTAAAAAAAATTTGCAAATGACTGGTTTGCTTCAGCTAAAATTTTAGATTGATAAAATAAAAAAAAAAAATAATTATAATTCTGAAACGACAGAAGTTTAAAAGATAATTCACTCTAGAAATGATGTTTTTCCTTTCATTTTTTTTGAAAGAACACACTAATTTTTAAAAAAACAGATAAAAACATTTTATATTTTAATAAAATATGCCAGTGAGTGGGAATTTTGATACTAATTCAGATATTCGGAGCACCATTAAACAGGAAGGGGGAAATTCCGGTTCAAAAATAAGATTTTTCGGCAACCTAAATTTATGACTTTCCATGATTTTTTTTTTAAACAAAAATAGTTAAAATCATGACATTTCATGACTAATTTAGTTCAATATCGAAATTCATGACTTTCCAGGTGCGCGGATACCTTGTGAATAAGAAAAAAGCTACCAGAAATCAGAATTCATTTTCAGATGAAGGAAGGAAAAAAAAAAAAAAAAANTTATAAGTCATGGTACGAATTCAAATGAAGAGAAAGAGAAGAAAACTTTCAGAATACAAGAAAAAATTTTCAGAAATCATAGTTCATATTCAAATAAAAAGAGAAATTTTCAGAATATTATTTAAAAAAAAACAAACTTTTAGAATATTGTAAAATTTATTTTCGTAGGCAATAGAGTCTGAAAAAAATAACTACTATACCTGGAATCATAATTAGAAATTAAGTTTTAACATTTCTGTAGATGTAACACGGTGAAATTATCTCAATTTTGGCCATCAGTGTATACACATATTTATTTTCAAAAATCTCTTAAAATGATCTTTTAAAAGTCACCAAATTAGTTCAGGTTGTAAACTGCAACTTTTCAAATAATAATCATCCACTTTTTTCAAAATGAGTTCATAAATGTAAGTTTAGTTATTTTTTTAAATACTCAAATGAAAATCTAACAAATGAAAATTCATAGAAATTACAAGAAAAACTTGATTTGAGAGCATAAAATTTAGTCAAGTTTAAGTTATTATTGATCGAGAAATTAGTTTTAATTTCTTATTTCTTTTAATTTACTTCATTGATTAGTTTTAAATTTCACATTTCTTACAATCTACTTTACAGATAATGAGTGTCTAAATGTTTTTTTATGAACGCAATGTGCTTAAAAATTAGTTTTGTATTTAAAATGAACTTAAAAATATAACACTCAGTGAAGAAAATAGATAAGGTATATTAATATTTTGATAAACAATTGAAGAGTAATTTATCACATTCTAAGCTGGTACTATTTAGAGCTCGAGTCACCCAAACACTTTTTAGTCAAATCGAATTTTTTTTTAATAGGCTTAAATAGAACAAGATTAAACTACTCTATGGCATTAAGATCGAAAAACAAATTTAAAAAATGTGAAATAATATTCTATACTGCAAATTATTGATTAAATTTGTTAAAGAATATTTGGTAAACTCTTATTAGAAATTTAAAATTTAGAAATTCCAAAAACACTTTTGAATTAATGACTTACTTTGTGAAGTTCAAAATATTTGGTATTATTAAAATTAATAAAACATACATAATTAAAAAAGGCTTATAAAAATAAAATTTTAAAAAGCATGCATTTAATAGTAATAACTATATGAATTACAAAGCACTAAATAGGATAAAAAAAATTCTTTTAGATAAAATTTTTTATAGAATGCAACAAAGTTAATACTTCACATTTTGGTTTAACCATTTTAGTTATTATTTTGTTATACTATTAAAAATTCTTGCAATAGTTCAATACTAAGAAAAATATACTATAAATACAGACATTAACAATCACTATTTGTAACCGATTGCAATACACAACGTGAAACAATGTACACATACATGTTAGAGCACTAAATAATTAAAACTATACAAGGATTTTTTCTTATGAAATACTTCTTTTTACGATTAATATTATTGGAGTTCTAAATAAATTTAGTGGTCTTCTGCTGTACATCCTGGATGCAAAATACCTTTGGTGATTCTCAAAACTATTTTTTTAAACATACATTCGTAGATAATCTATAAAAACTGCTATGTAAAACTTGTGAAAAAATAATCAGTAATCCTGAAGAAATATTTTTACAATGAATTTCCTACGTTACATTTTTCAATAGATATAAAAATGTTTATTATTTAAAACTTTCGAATAATATAATTGAAATTTCAATCAATATAATTAACAAACACGCAGAAGAATTAAAAAAAATTTCAATACTTTTACAATAATTTTAAATCTTGCAAAATTTTATACAAATTAATAAATGCATGAATATTTCAATATACATGATAAAAGATTTAACACTATTGCATTTTGCAAATTCTTTCTATATTTTATGTATATATAATAATAAAACAGAACTGAAATCGCAATGACTAACATTTTTTAAGCTAAAGCAGTTAGAAAAATTAATAGCACAAATTCAAGCTTCTATGCAATACATTTTAAGAAATAAAAATTTTACCTTTTCTTTGTTACTTCGCATCCAACACATGACTATCATGGCACAAATCCAAATAAAGCATCCTAAGCCGATCATTCCAAATATTAAAGAGAATGCTATAGTTTTGGGAAGATTTATTTTTGTATGAAACAAACCAGCTAGGTTTTCAGTTAATTCGATTCTCTGAAAATAGAAATTTTTCTTTTGATATTTATAAATATACAAATGTGTGTAACATATTCTACTTTAAAATAATTTTATATACCTAATTCATCCTAAATAAAATTTTTCTTTTGAGAGTCAGTTGTACTAATTTATAGCTGTTACATATGAAATTATCTTCTAGCATAAAAATTTAATTTTTAATCACATTAATTGATGGGATTTTGGTGGATGGAAAATATACAACATTTATGAGGTCAAACACTGCTCTCATTGGCATGCTTGATACTCTGATGCAATTTTGGAAATTATTAGTAGTTAAACATAACTCACCAGTTCAGCCCAAAACACTGGAAAGAGAACATCAGGAACGTTTGAAACTTGACTGAAATAAATATCCATTAAAATATAGATTAATAACAAAAGTAAAATTATACAATCATTTGATGAAAGTTGGGTGAAAGAAATATTCACCAACATCAACAAAAATTTATTAAGCTGAAAACATATTAAAACATAACAAATTTTCAACAAGCAGGCAAACTTTCTCTATTTTTTTTTAATACAGTGAAATTTTGGTCAATGTTTCCCCAGTTTAAGTGAAGGAGCAAAAATGAAATATTTTATAACTAAAGGATAATGTTAAGTTGGGGATCCATTGAAAAAGAAATTTGCTTGCTCTTAAAAAGGAAAAGAGAAATAGCCATTTATAATGCGTATTAACAAACATCACATGTTCTAAGTGCTTTTAAACACGCTAAAAAAAAGTGTGGGAATTTATCATTATTTTTTTTAAGAAACACACTTGCTGACAAGAGTAAAAAAAATTTTTTTAGTGAGAGCCTCTCTCAAAACATGTTCTTTTATAGTTCCATTTCACAAATGTTTTATTTCTTTATGAGTACAATTAGATTTTAAGGTACATTTATTTAATGGAATTTTTATTTAAAATTGTATTTTATATTACAACAGTTAAAGAAAGAATTTTATAAGTATATTTGTTGTACAAAATGTTGAAATATTACAAAGCAAGAGAGCTATATATCAATATCTTTAGCACACATACACATTGCATTGCAGAAAGATTCTTTAATGAAAATTCATGAACTAGGTAACTATTAGAAGTGATATAATTAATTTATTACTGTTTTCTTTTTAATTAACAATTCAGCCACATAAATTTTGTTTTGAAAGTTACAGTTGTATCAAACATAGGCTCAAAATCAGTGGAATGATATAATTTTGCAATGAGTTATAATTCGAACAGTTATCATAATATTAATTCCAGTAACATTTTTGTTTACCTAATTATATAAATATTTGTTTTCATAGAATCAAAGACTTCCTTTTATCTATAAGTTTATTTCATCCCTGATATCTTTATATATATTTATTCAAAGTTGAGCATATTTTTCTGACTACACTCATATTAAATGTAGTTAATTTTATAATATTATTTCTTTAACAGTACAAACACAGAAACTATTTAAAACAAACTATAAAAAAATACAGCTCTTGTCGAAAGAATTTGTAAATGTAGTATGCAAAATTAAAACAAAGTATTGTAAAATAACAGAATTTAAATAGAATATAAAAAAGGAAGCTACTCACGCTATTCCTGTGATTTTCTGAATTTTTAAATTAATTTGGAATCTTATTGCAGCATCAATACTAAATCCAGTGTTCTAAAAAGATATATTTCCAAGATTTTCAGTTTCATTACAAGTCATTATTAAAGTAAAAGTATTACACGAGGCAAAGATGTCAATGTTACTAACTAAGTCACTTAATATTTTTATTTAAATAAAAAATATGTTTTGATTATGAGACTTTCTATTATCAAAATTCAAACAACTTTGTAATCTGCAGTTCCACTTTATTTGAAAGAATTTACTGAAATCAAGCTGTTTAAGATTTAATAGTTAAAATAAAAAACAATATTTCGCAAACAAAGTGAATGACTACTGTATTATTAAGCACACTGTTTACTGCAATGCAATTATTTTCCTAAAAGTAAAAAAAAGAAGCATTTCTGCTATTGCTAGTTATTGGCTGTAATTCTTCAATTCCTAGCGCAAATTGAGTGCCTCAGAAACAAATCCCTTAAATGAGTAATTTAAACTTTTTTTTTTTTGCTGTCAAAGAAAAATAAATCCTCATCTTAAAAATATTTCAGATAAGAAAACAATTAAAATCAATCAAATTTTTATAAAAAAAAAAGTTTATAACATTCTTTTCAGAATATTGCTAACAAGGCTGGCATACTTACTGGCTCTATATCAATATGGAAATTATGGAGTGTTGAGTTAGGGTGCATTCCAATGACTGCTTTAGTGTAAGAATCATCACCCAAATAAAAATGAGGAAAAGAAAGAACCACTGGAGCCCCTGCAAAAAGTAAACATTTTTCTTTAAAAAAAGATTATTAAAAAATAAATTAAAAGAACGTTAAAAAATATAATACCATATCATAAGACACTCTACCCTTTAACCTGAGCTTCACACAAGATTTCGAAAGTTCACATACAAAATTTCAACCTTTGCACACAATCTTATTTTCTGTTTAAACAACAGCATTGGTATAGTAAATTTTAGATTTTTTTTTCTACTTAAAACTTGCTTGCTTATATTCCAGCATCTGACAGGGTACTTGATGTTTACTTCGGTAATCGATGTAACAAGCCCCTATTAATCTTATGCCAAGCCCCTATTAATCTGCAATTGTCTGCTATTTTATAATAAAACAAAATCACACAGAATAAGTCCAAAATAGGGAAGCACAACCTGCGTCCCTTGAAATGTGAATGTGCTGCTCTTCTTCACTGTCACTCAAAACAACATAAAATCTAAGTAACTTCCATAAAAATTTATATTTGTTTTTTAAACAAATTTAATAATTTTTAAGATCAAAAAGCTTAGAAATTATAACGTAACAATTCCGAAATTCTGAGAAATCAACTTGAATTTCAAAAGACTGAAATTCTTTGGCTTTTTAAAAAAAATTTCTGAAAAAAAAAACAACAACAATAATAATAATTTGTAGTGATTTATTTAAAAATTAAAGATCAAATAAGTTTATATAGAGAAAAAAAATGTTTTTCAAAAAATAAAAATAAATAAATGTTTACTAAAAAGAATAAGATAAACTTTAATTTTACTATAGATAAAGAAACAACAACAAAACAGCACTTTTTTTTTAAAGCTTTGAAAATAAAGCTTATTAAATATACGCAATTTGTTCTTATACTACTTCTTTCAATTTTTAAGAAAATCTTATTATTATTTGACTAATGGTTATTATATATGGTATTATATATAGTTATTTTATATGGTAACAATTAGGCAATTGTGTAATTGTCATAAAGCTGAATTCATTGTGGTCCTCTATAGTTAATTTTTTTTCATGCCCTCTTCGAAATTTGGACGGACATCTTTGATTAAACTGCTTATCTGATTATATAGAATTAACTCTATGTATAGATTGCAAATATTTATAATCCTGAGAAAACTTGGGCGTAGCAGAATTTGTCAGAACGTTCTGTTTACCATGCTTTTTACTAGGCCGGAAGCAAAATAAAATAAATAAAATAAAATAAACAAAGAATAATGATAATCTGCTGCGACTGGAAGTTTTCCCAGTTTTGCTGTTGGATTGGGGGACTGCACAAGTGTTTTGAGCGATTGTATATACAATGGTTGTTCAATATACAAAAAAAACAAATGGCATATCACTTCACTGGCGTTTGGAAAGTTCCTTGTTTTAAAATTTATCATACAAAGACTTATATTTAACTTTTTTCATTTGCCTGAGATACTGATGGTAAATGCTTTTTTACACACAAAAAAAAATTATAATTTCAACTTGTTTTATTTCCTTGTATTCATTAATAAAATAAAAATATGTGGGTTTTTTTTCTCAAAAGAATAGGTATGGGATCATTTAAAACGGTTAACTTTGGCTTTTGAAAATGTTAAAGTGCTGTATTACAGTCAGTGCTTGATATAATCATCAGTGTCTGAGCAAAAACATATTAACTCATAGTTAAAAAAAAAAACACTTGAGCAGTTTTAACAAAGCAATATTTTACTTAAATAAGAATTTGGCAACTAAAAGAAAAATTGCCTGCAATGTAACTTTTTTTCCACATTAATAAATACGCTTTAAAATAATACTTCATAGGTGAAAAATGCATTTAAAATAATACGGGCTATTTCGAGAAATTCAAAAACTCGTTTTCGAGAAAATAAAATATTAAAAAAAGATGTGGAAACTCCATTTTTTTGAACTGGAAAATGAAATACACAGGGGGATTGACCATTCATTAAAAGAGTGAATATAATTTTCAAACAAGAAAACTATGAAGTCTATGCAAAGAAATTACAAATGATTAAGATACTACCACACAGGAGATTCAAGGAGTTTTACATTTGTCGGGTGATAACATCAAAGGAAATAATGGTTAAAATAATCACTATTTTGAAACCAAACGACTAAATTTTGGTTGCTGTATTAGAATGAAGGGCTCAGTGAGGACACTTTAGTGTCAGGCTAAATCGTAAGCTGATAGTGAAGGTTGGCTAAATCGTAACCTCAGTCAGGCACCATGCTTTAAAGAAATTTGTTTTTCTACCATCTCAGGTGAAACGTCATCTTTTAAGAAAAAGTGAAACACGAAGAAAGAGAGTAATAGGTAAATATTTGCTTTAAAATAAATTCTAATCCTACATAATCAATCTATAAACTCAACCTTACGAAAAAAAATTTGTTTTTAAAAGTAATAAAAGGAGAAAATATTCAATTGCATTGTGTTGAAATTAAAATGGTCGAAACTGGCACTCATTTCGCTTCAATCGCCCTTCACAGTAGCTTTTCTGCTTTGCAGCTTCAGGGCGGAAAATGCTCTAAAAGACATAAAATAACAATGAGTCTATGGAATTGCAAAGAGGACATCAGTCATTACTGTAATCGGGGTTATATTTAATGGTGTAGACTGATTTTATTTATTTTCAAGTTCAAAGTCAAGTTTGCATAAATTATTTCTTGATAATTTGTACAATTTTTAAGGATAAATTTTTTTAAACAAAAATTAATGCATACTTACAATGGCGATAAAAAGTATTTAACATTTACAAAGATACACTTACCATATTGACAACTACTAATGTCTTGAGCACCACTTGCTAATTTCATTTTTGTGTCAAAACAAGAATTATCAGGATTGTCTTTTCCATTCGCAAATGTCATGTTGGTAGTAACAAATCGCTTCGACAACACACCTATATGTTCAGTGTCCTCAACATAATCCAAGCTAAGAGATCTAAAAATAAAAGATCAATTAAGAAGAGAAATACAGTTACTCTATGCATCATAATATTTTGTATTAATAATAAAGCCAGACTCACATTAAGGATCCTACAAAGAGTCGAATTTGTTTCATTGAGAAAAATGGCTCATTAAATTAGCCCATTTACTTAAACCAAAGTTAGGAGAAATTATAAGTTATAATGTACAAAAATAAACTAGAAATGTATAAAAATAAATTTTTATGTCAACATTGATTAAAAAAAAGTTTAAGGTTTTCATTTATTGTATTTTTTAAAAATTGTTTTTGTGATTTACCTCTTTTCTATTGTACAATACATTATCCATTACACTTATTGAGTTCAGAAAAGTTTGCACTTTCTTTACAAATGTGGAAACTGACAGTCTTTGAATTAGGCTTTCTTTTTCTCTATCTCTGTCAGATTCTGTGATTAAATTCTATAATTATTGTTGCTCACTATGCATGCTTCAGACAAACATTAGTTCAAAAGCATGAAAGGAAGCAACTGTAGATATATAGAATCTATTCAATGGTTTACATTTGTAAGTCGTTGAAATTTTATATCTGACAAGGCATATGTGAAACTTCATTATTTCCCCTCACTATTTATTTACCTATGACATTTGAACAAATTAAACTAAAATAATGTTTTTAAACCCTTTAAAAGGAAATGAAATTTTCATGAAGAGTCAAATACCTTTTTCTGAGAGATTAAATATAACTAATTTCAAGACATTTTAGGAAAATTATTTTTGAACCTGATTTGTGCTCGTAACGACAAGGTTTTATATGGAATTTTTGACATTACATTAAAGTCATTACATTATATGAATGAAAATGTATTAGTTAAACTCGGACATCATTATCTAGGCACGTAATAAATCAGTTTAAATAAATACTTTCTCGACATTATACTCTTGTATAATAATAATAAATTTTTTTGACATCAATATAAAAACAAATACTAAAAGTTTATAAAACAGAATCAACCAATTAAAAATATAAAGGGTGGAATCATGGTACAAACTTTAAGGGTAGGTACAGGACATTGCAACAATCAATTATTGTATAGGAATGTATGAGCGCATGGGTGAGGTGCAAACATAAAAAATAAGAGACGAAAGGAAAGACAAAGTGTTTATTGAAAGCGTCTTTGACAAGTGTAATATTTACAATAACTGTTCGAAACTGCGTTCACCAGTAGCGATACATGTTTGACACTGTTGATGGAGCGATTGGTGTACACTTTCAAAGATGCCAGGTATTTCACTCACACTTGCAGCAGTTTCAAAAATTAGAGCAAGAAGATTTTCATCTGAGTCGAGTAGAGTCGTATAAACAATTCTGAATGACACTTTCCCCAACTGAAATGCATCATGTTGAACAGCGGCTACATTTCTATTGCCTTCAACCGACAACACAACCAACTCTATTTATTTCTCCTGTTTGCACCTCACGGAGTAACTTGCGCTCATACATTCCTGTACAATAAATGATTGTTACAATGTCCTGTACCTACCCATAAACTTTGTATCTTGAATTCGGGACCACAGAGTATAAATAATGTATAGGTGAAGCTTATTCGGGTCACAATAAGTCTAAGAAATGTTTTTATTTACCCTTATCCAAGATAATGAATCCAAGAAAATGAGAATTATTTTCATTTTCTTGGATTTATTATATTTAAAGGTATGAAAAATATTCATATAAAAGTGAAACGGAAATTTTGAAGGAAAAAAGAGTAATCTAGTAACTTTTTTTTTTAAAAAAAGAAAGAAAATGATTGTTTAACTCAAAAAGAAATCTACCTGCAGAATATTGACTGGAAAAAAGAATATTTAGATTGATCAGCCTGAAGTGGGGGCCCTATTTCTGCATCTGTAAAATGAACACTTATTATAACAATAGAAAACAAATATGCTATTTTTCTAATATATGACTAAAATGGGATAGACCAATTCTAAACAATTTAATAGAGACATAAGTTTTCATTCTAAAAACTATATAAATTATTTATTGTATGCACAAATTATATTAAGTAAAGTGTCCCACTCATAAACTAGATTCATTATTTCTGAAGAACTTATTACTCAAACATAAAAAAGTTTGCTACAATTAGATATGAGCGAAATAAAGTAACATATCATTAATTAATACACAAAAAGGGCGACCTTTGTGCTGGAATACAAAGTAAGGTAAAAACAACGTTTAAGAGCACAAAAAATATTTAAAAATGCAGACAGCTGTTTCGGATGCTCAAAGGGCAACCTTCATCAGTGCAACAGAAAGAAATAAGAGAAAACAGGGTAAATATATAAAAAGATGACGTCACAAGAGGGTTTAGAGCAACGGCTAATAGGAGGGAAGGGTGAATGGGTGGGTGACAACGAATAGGGAGCAAGGAACAAAAAAAAGGGGGGTTTAGTTAGGTTTAATCATAGATTTCCAAACAGGAGAAAGATAAGGAACGCTAGATAGGTCATTGACCAACAGTTTGGAATTTTTGAAAATCTGATAAGACTCGTAAAAATCTAAATCAAATATTGAAGAACAATTTTGAATGACTTTAGATGAAGAAAAATTAAAATTATGATTAGAGTCCCAACAATGTTGGGCAATAGATGAGCGTTTAATTTAAATTCTTGTTTTTTGGCATAAGCTTCACGTTCCTTGACACGGCACTTTAAGGCACGATTAGTTTGGCCAATATATGAAAGGCCGCATTGGCAATTAATTTGGTATATGCCCCAGTTATTTTGACTGTCAATGGGCTGTTTGGAGCTTGACCTCGTTTGAATGTTTGACGTGTTCTTTTGAGCTGCTTTGTTTACTTTTCAAAATAATAATATTTTTAAGTTAATTTCAGTCTAAATTTGTTTTAAATTGTTTTTAGCCCCTTTCTACAGCTTTATTAACATGCGTGAAGTGATATTGGTTTTTCTTTGACTTTAGTACTTCAATTTTGCAAATGCGCCAATCCAACATGGCGACATTCTTGCATTAGTGAAACGAAGTACTTACGATTTGACATTTCTTGTGGAAACTGGGGAGCAAGATGGCAGACTGTGAGGATGATGCGTTTTACTCCTCTCTTGAAACGTATTCTAATATTGTAGAAAACGCCCTTCTCTCTAAATGCAATATGAATCAACAAATGCGTGAAGATGCTAGGAAAGCGTTGGGTGAGTTGAAATTTCTTGTTACAAGACAATTTGAGAAAATAAAGTCTGTTGTTTATCGTGAAGTTTGTAAAGAAAATGTTGCGAGTTATGTTCAAAAAAAGTTATACAGCGAAGTAGTGGCGTCGTCATCGGTTGTTAGTAAACAGAGTAAGGGGAATTCATCAAATTGTGCTCTTTTAATATCGGCTGAAAATTGTAAGTCGGAGGAAGTTAAGAAACTTTTTAAAGCACAGATTGACCCTAGAAAAGATAAAATAGGAATTAAGCAAGTTAAAAGTGTTTCTGAGGATAAAATTTTAGCTAATTGTGCTTCCTAAGCTGACAGAAATAAATTATTAACGAGCATTGAAACAAATTCGGAAATTTTGAAGCCAGCTTTTCCTAAGCGAAAGAATCCTACGTTGTTAATTAAAAATGTACCAAATGATATAGAAAATTCACAAATATTAGACATTATTCGTGAGCAGAACCTAGAAGTTTTTAATTCTGATGAACATTGGAACGAGTTCGAATTCGTTTTGTTTTGAAAAAATTCCAACATGTTCGATCTGTTATTGTGGAGGTGCATCCAAAAGCTCGGAAAAATATTATTACCTTGGAATCTTTGAAAATTATGTGGAACATGTGTAGTGTTGAAGATTTCGTAGTTATTAATAGGTGTTTTTCATGCCTCGGCTATAATCATAGATCTATGGAATGCAGAAATAAGTTGTCTTGTTATTTTTGTGCCGGTGAGCATAGAAGTTCAGAGTGTAAAAATTGTGAAAATCAAGTTTGCGTAAACTGTATTAGATACAATAAAAAATTGAAAAGTGGAAGTAAAAAAGTGGATGTTAGACATAAGCCTTTTTCTCAAAGCTGCTCTTGTCATATTTTTATGAGGGATCAAATGACTTCTCGAATTGATTATGATGGTTAAGGTCTTTAAGAATAACATCAGTTTTGTACAATTAAACTTGCATAAGTCAAAGAAAGCTACTCAGCAGCTTATTTTAAATCTTGAATGTGATGATGTTGATGTTGCCCTTATTCAGGAGCCCTACTGTTTTAATGGCAAATTACTTGGCTTTCC